CACTCACTGATAGCTCTGCCTTCCGGGTTCACGCCTTTCTTCTGCCTCAGCCTCCCGAGTAGCTGGGACTACAGGTGCCTGCCACCGTGCCGGGGTAATTTTTTGTATTTTTAGTAGAGATGCGGTTTCACTGTGTTAGCCAGGATGGTCTCAATCTGTTGATCTCATGATCTGCCCGCCTCAGCCTCCCAAAGTGCTGAGATTACAGGCGTGAGCCACCGCACCTGGCCTTAGAACAGGATTTCTTTTTTTACATGAATACTTTTGGTCTCTATAGATTTGCCGTTTCTGAACATTTCATGTAAATGGACTAATATGTCTTTTCTGACTGGCTTCTTCCACTTAGCATAATGTTTTCTAAGCTTATTCACGGTGTAACTCATGTCAGCACTTCATTTCTTTTCATTGCCAAATAATATTCCATGTATATCCCTCTACGTGGGGCATTATTCTTTGCCACATTTGATCCATCAGTTGATGAAATTTAGGTTGTCCCCCACATTTGGGCCATCGTGAACAGTGCTGCTATGAGCATTTGTGTGTTAAGTCCTGCGTCTCTATAAGATTGTCTGTTTTTTTGCAGTTTACTCAAGTAGGAAACTGGTTTGCCTTAACAGACCTTTCACTGTCTGGATGTTGCTGATCTCAACACTGTAGTGTCATTTAACATTTTTATGTGCCGTCGTGTTTCCTCTGAATTAATATGGAGATCTGGAGGCTCGATCAGATATACGTTCAAATTTTTTTTTAGCAGGAATACTTGATGGGGGTGTTCTGTTCTTTCATTAGGAGTCGCAGTGCCTGCCTGGGAGTTGTTCTTCTGATATCAGTAGGCAGTGTTATCGCTTAACTCCATTAATTTATTAGGGGCTCAAACTTGGTGCCTATTTCTCAAGAAATTAATATGGGAGCTTTTTGCATTATAGTTTCAAATTCATTAAAATGGTGTGTGGAAGTACTTAGTATATACTTTTCTCTTTTTTTTGAGACAGTCTTGTTCTGTCGCCCAGGCTGGGGTGCAGTGGCACGATCTCGGCTCACTGCAAGCTCTGCCTCCGGGGTTCAAGCAATTCTCCTGCCTCAGCCTCCTGAGTAGCTGGGACTACAGGCGCGCGCCACCACGCCCGGCTAATTTTTTTGTATTTTTAGTAGAGATGAGGTTTCACCGTGTTAGCCAGGATGGTCTCGATCTCCTGACCTCGTGATCCACCTGCCTCGGCTTCCCAAAGTGCTAGGATTACAGGCATGAGCCACCATGCCTGGCCTACTTAGTATATTTTAACTAGCTACCTTATTAAATTTTCTTGTGAGTCCTTACAGTTTTTCATAAGAGTTTCTAAAACTCTGTAGCTGATTATACTATATGCCAATTAGCATTTCTGATGAACCCCTCCCTCCTTTCTCCTTGCCACCCTGCATTGCCTAGGACTTCAGAACACCCTGGTCAGCAGCAGCAGTGAGGGTGCCCCCTCATTACAGGAATCCTTCCAGAGGTGTTTACATCACCCAAGCATGGATGCACACTCATGTCTCTCTGGTGTTACAATTGATGGGCAGACAGCGACGCACACGGATCCATGCCTCCCTTTGGCTGTCCTGGGAACTACACTCAGCTGTGATCCATGGGCTGTGCAATCAGGGCCCGCAGACGGCCCTTATCTGTGCAGGACCCCGGCCGGCATTTGCTGACAATAACGTGGCCAGTTGGTCTTTTCTAAATAAAGCACCGCATACAGAGGAAGTGTGCTGAGGCTGGGCCAGCATTAGGTATAGAACCTGCAGGCTGAGGAGGCGGCAGCCTGACCCACCTGTCAGTCATGGAAGTCCCAGAGTGCTACCAGCGTTGCTGTTAGAGCACTTGTCTGCCCGAGTTTATTTCCTCCAGGGGCACATCAGGGGCCTGCTCTGGGCAATGCAGATGCCCAGGCTCTGCCCTGGAGAAGTGGGGAAAAGCTGTTATGAGCATTTTAAAGATGGGGAAGAGGGCTTTCTCTCTACTCCCAGCGGTTTCCCCTCCTTTCGGAAGCAGAATTGCAGGACAGCCCCTGCGGGCAGCAGCCAGCCTCCACAGAGCGGGGATTCTGGGGTTTGGTTCAGCGCTGAGAAGGGGAAGGGTGGCTTTCTCTTTGGCCTGTTTCCCCCGCGCTGAGCTGCTGACCCTTTCCCAGGGAGGGACCAGGAGGCGTCTTCGATTCGGAACACTGAAGCCTGGCACACCTGAGGGGAGTTAATGGAGACGGGAACCAAGGCTCTCCCAGAGGACTTACAGCTCTCAGGCAGTGGACAGGAAGGGGCACGGCCACGGCTTCCTCTTGCACTGAAGAGGGGTGCATTTTTCCTGTTTGCTAAATGCCAGACTTGGGGATGGACCAACAGGACAGCTCGACCAGCTTGAAGGTTTTTAACGGAATGAAACAGTGGGAAAATGTTTTCAAATTTCTACCCCCCCTTCCACTTTTCTTTTAACTTAGAGGAGGTGGGTGTGGCAGTCTCAGAAAAGGAAACTAGCTGTGTAATAATAATATTAATGGCACCAAGTGTATACTGCAAGCCAAGTGCTGTTCTATCTAAATGCTTTATATACAATGATTTCCTTAAATTCTCACAATAAAGCAACAAGAAGAGACACAGCCCTACAGAAGAGGAAACTGAGACACAGAAATTAAACGACTTGCCCAAGGTCATACTGAGAAAGTCATGGTGCCAGAATTCTGACTCAAACATTTTGGTTCCAGTCTTCTGCCCTTTTTTAACTAAGCAAAAAAGGAAGCTGGAGAAGAACTGTACCCGGGAGATGCCAGCAGTCTCCAAGGAGCTCCCCGTAAACATCCCGGAGGAACGGATATCTGCCAGCAGTCTCCACCGTAGTTTCTCTTTTCCCCTTTGCAGCCTCGGAGCAGGCTGAACTCACAGCCTTGTGCACCTGTCCCTGTGCATCTTTCTCTCGGCTCTGTTGAGCGACCCATCTGGCCACACTGACTGGTGGGCAGGTGACAGACTGGCACGTAGCACGTGGGCTTTGGCATGCTTGGGGTCTCTGCAGCAGTGCCAGCTGCTCCCGTTGTGCGAGACGGCTGCCGGCAGTGTGAACAGGAGGGCCACCAGCAGCAGTGAGTCTCATCGTAAGAACACAGCTGGCAGTCCTCCGGGAGAGAAAATCTGGGGTGAGCCAGGGCCTCTGGAAAATGTGGGGTCTTCCCATCCCCCACACCCAGCCTGAGCTGAACGGAGGACAAACTAAGAGTCTGGATGTTTGGAGAGACATGAGGGATGGTCAGGTGTCAGGAGGACAGGTGGGTTTAACAACAAGGGGGGCTTGGAGTGAGCGTGAACACCAGGGCAGGAAGACACTCAAAGCAGCTGGAAGTAGAAACGGCAGACCACAGCCTCAGCCACTTAATGTTCACAGGCCACAAGGCAGCATCTGGCTAGTCACTCAGATCCTCTAACAGACAAACCACCAAACACACACACACACACCCTGGCCGGACAGACTTCCAGATGGACAGGATCCCAGGGAAACACCCAGCGGGACAAACAGACGGATTACTGACAGATGGGAAGACCCTCAGCCAGACATCCAAATAGACCTATGGCCAGAGAGACACCTGAGCCCCCCAGCCAGGCAAAGGTCAGAATCCCTCAAGGACAGGCTCCCTCCCTGAAATGGACAGAGACGTTACCCCAGAGGAGAGAACACACCACCCACCTGGTCACCCAGACCTTCAGCTGGACAACATGTCCTCCACCGGTCAGACAGACCTCAGCCTATGAGGACAGACCCTCAACAGGATCCCTGCTGCTGGACAGAGATCCTCTAGCCCATAATGACTGCCCTTAATAACCATGTGTGCTCAGGGGCTTAGCCTCCATAACTTTCCCAGCAAATGTACTTATTTTCTGAAAGCTCACTGACGCGTCTGTATTCTACCTCCCTGGCTCTCCATGGCCATCCACAAACCCTCAGAGATTACACCGAGAGTCACTGTCGTGCCCTGAGCAGAGCTCTCCATGACTTTCCAGACTCTTCTGAACCTTCAGTTACTAACACTTTAAATCCCAATGGCCCCACGATTACTTTCACTTCTTGTCCCAGGTATCCACTGGCCTCCCAATGACTGTCATTAATATCCACTGACACCCCCCATGAACATCCAAGGGACCCCAGCTGACTTCCAGTGAATTCCCTATCACCGCCATCCTAAATGATTACTACTGACCTCCGACCTCCCTTAGAATGCTCCAAGATGAAACTGATAAATGATGACCATGGATTTCACAGCGACCCCTGCAGACCTCACAATAAATCAAACAGCCCTGGCTGCTGACCCCACAGACCCGCTTTGATCCCTCCATCCCTTAAGCCAAGGTCAGCAATCCACACCTTGTAGGCCACACACACACACTAGAATAATTCATGACACATGAAAATTACATGAAATTCTAATTTCTTTGTTCATAAAGAGTTTCCCTGGGACACAGCCACACTGTATACTGTCTGCTTTCACGTGCCACAGCTGAGTTAAGCGGCTGGGGCAGAGATAGCAAAGCCAAAACCACTTCCTACCAGGCCCTTTAGGAAAGTGTGCCTTCAACACTCGGATGGCTCCTAGTGAATTAAATTCACCACCTGACATCCTGCCCCTGTTGACCCTTCAAAGACTCAGGCACACATCCAGGCCCCAATGCTACCTTTCAACCCCTCAACGACCTCCAACCAGTGTCCACTGACGCCCGTTCCACTGACACCCCCTCTTAATTCTTCCCACCTGGGCGAGAAGGGGGCTGACCTAGGCCTGTCCTTGAAGAGACCCGGGTGCCGGTCCGTTCTCTCCAGCCTCCCCTCGGTGATCCCGGAAGCCAGCTCGTCTCTAACCTCCGCACACTTTCCGCGGATGGGCGTGAAGGCCGAGCGCCCGGGGTGGGGCCGCGCGGGCTCCGAACACCGAGGCTGGGGCGCCCTGCCCGCCGCCGCGCGCGTCCATTGGCTGCCCAGGCCAGGGCGGGGGCTCCGTCTCCGGCCTCCGCCTCCCGCGGCGTCCACACTCGCGGCGGCCGGGCTGGACCTCGCTGGCCCGCGGCGCCATGAGCCGCAGTCTGGACGCCGCGCGGAGCTTCCTGGAGCGGCTGGAGGCGCGGGGCGGCCGGGAGGGGGCCGTCCTCGCCGGCGAGTTCAGCGTGAGTGGCGCGCCCCGGCCCTGGCCCCGCGGACTCCGGTCCTTCGCCCCCGGCGGGCTCTGCCTTTCTGTCTCGGCGTCCCGGGTGTCTCCCCGCCTCGGGGATCTCTCCGTGTGTCTCTCCCCAGCGCTTCTCTGTCGCTCTTACTGTCTCCGTGTTCGCCCTCTGCCCACCGGCCCCGGAGCGCGGCGCCCGCGGCCAGACCTGGACAGACCGTGCACACCCTCCTGGTGTCCTCGCGCGCCCGGAACAACCTGGCTCGGGCGGGACGGGCGGGGCGGGCGCCGCAGGGAGGGGGGCGGCCTTGCTACCCCGGACAGCCCCGGCCCCGCCGCTCCTGGCGGCCTGACTGTCCCCTGTGACCGCAGGAAGGAAGGGGCTGCAGCAGGGCGAAGAGGAACGCGGGGGCCGTGGCGTGGTGAGGGGGTGAACGCGGGGCCGGAATCCGCGTCCGGGCCCGAATCCGCGTGTGGTCCCGGCGGTCTACCTGGCCCCTCTGGCCTCGGCTTCTCCCTGGTGAAATGGGGACATGAATGACCAAACTGGCCTGAGGATTAAATGGTGCGGGTGGAAAGCGCTTAGCACATACTGGGCGCGCACTTCGCAGGGGCCAGCGTCACTGCCTATAAAGATTCTAAACGTCGGCCAGGTGCGGTGGCTCACACCTGTAATCCCAGCACTTTGGGAGGCCGAGGCGGGAGGATCGCTTGAGCTCAGGAGTTCAAGACCAGCCTGGGCAACACAGCGAAACTCCTTCTCTACTAAAAATACAAAAATCAACTTTGCGTGGGCACGCGCCTGTAATCCCAGCTACTAGGGAGCAGAGACAGGGGACTCGCTTGAACCTGGGAGGCAGAGGTTGCAGTGAGCTGAGATGGTGCCACGGCACCCCAGCCTGGGCGACAGAGTGAGACCCCATCTCAAACCAAACCAAACCAAACAAAAAGTCTAAACGTTTCAATACGGGTAGTGCAAGCCCAGCGTTAGGAAGGCGCACACAGCATGCTAGGCACTGCACACTATGGTCAATGACGTGTTTAAAGTGTAATAGCTTATAGCTTACGTACCAGACATAGAAACATACCTTACAAATGCGTAAACTGATATATGGTGATGCATATCAAGTTTAGCAATATATGACAAACACATAAAAATAGTATAAATGACCGTTTATACAATAAACATTGTATAACTGCGTAAAACAATACAACAAATGAATATAACAAAGATTATAATTTATAAAATGACCAAAGTTATATGATAACTTCGTAAGTAAATATACAATATGTAGCAGATAATTATCAACCTAAGTAATTTACACACATGTAGAAACATTGTATATAAGAAACTAAGAAATGCATAATAAATGTAAAATACATAATTACACAATATAAGAATGTGTGTAACAAACGTAAACGTAATACCCATGTGATATATGACATCAGGCGACTGGGTGGGTTCTGAACCGTGCACAGCGCCCAGGGCCTCACATGCCAAAGGCTGGGTGGTGAGGGCACCCCTATCCCCCAAGACTGCCTCCCGCATGTGCAGGAATCACTGGGCTCTTCTAGGTGTTCCCACTACACAAGGGCATCATGAGGGCTTAAATGACCCAACGCACCAAGTCAAGAACTTAGAATAGTGGCTGGCACACACTATTCTAAGTGGCATGGGTGTTACTTATTATCATTGAGATTATGAATACCTGACGATGATGGTAATACGCGATTCACTAAACATTATTATAATCTCCCAGTAACACAGTACCTATGGTATCTTGTACATAATATGTTATCCATTATAATGCCTATGCATTGTACATTCTCTTAGGTTTAGTTATATAACCCTTAATATATTTCATCGCAGTTATTGCTTACAGGACAGTGTTACAGATTGAGTGTGCAGGGGGTGGGTGCCGAGAGGTCTGAGTTCAATCCTCACCGTGTGTCTTCCTGGTTGGGAACTTCCATAAGTCGCTGAACCACGTGGTGCCTAAACTTCCCCGCCTGCACAATGGGGGCCTCAATAATAGTACCTATGTCGTAGGAACCTGTGATTATTACATGCCCTTAGCACAGAGACTGGCACAGAGAAGGTGCTCTGGGTCGCTATTTCTGTATCATTATTATTAGGCAAGCCCGGTGCCATCAGGGTCTGCACTCACCTCCCCAGGCCACTGGCTTTGTATCCTGCGCGTGCCTAGGTGGCCCGGGACTCTGACCTGGCTCCTCTCCTGTCTCCTCCCCTCCCTGGCCCACTCATGATGCTCTACCAGGACATCCAGGCCCGCTCGGCCGCCTGGAAGGCTGATGGCATGTGCTCCACCAAGGCGGGCAGTCGGCCAGAGAACATGAGGAAGAACCGCTACAAAGACGTGCTGCCATGTAAGTCGGGGCTTCCGTAGGGAGCCGGTGCAGCCGGGCACGCACCGCCACTGTCCAGGTATCAGTGTGCACTGGAGTCACCCACTGCGCTCTCCTCCCAGAGCCTCACCCTCTGCACTGCTCAGCAGCCCACTGGGGCACCTTGGTGGGATCTCTGCAGGTGTGTGGTCCCCTGCTGGCTTTCAGCCAGGGGGCTGTCAGACCCTCGGTCACCCTATCCTCCCCAAACTCCACGTTTCTCACCTTATCTGCTGACAGATGATCAGACGCGAGTAATCCTCTCCCTGCTCCAGGAAGAGGGACAAAGCGACTACATTAATGGCAACTTCATCCGGGTGAGGGTTGGGGTCACGGAAGGAGGTGGATTGGGAGTGGCCGGGGGGTGGGCAGCAGAATCTCAGTAGTGAATTCGGCCTTCACCAGGGCGTGGATGGAAGCCTGGCCTACATTGCCACTCAAGGACCCTTGCCTCACACCCTGCTAGACTTCTGGAGACTGGTCTGGGAGTTTGGGGTCAAGGTCAGCACTTGGGGGCAGGGCACAATGGTGGGGTCAACATCTAAGTAACCCCTTGGCATTTCCCTGGCCCCCTCACCCAAATCACCTTCCTCTCCCCTGACCCACCTTGTCTAGGTGATCCTGATGGCCTGCCGGGAGATAGAGAACGGGCGGGTAGGTGTCCTCTGCCCCCAGGTTTCATGTCCTCATGCAGGGAGGAGGGAGGAGGGAGGAGGGAGGAGGGATCTTGCTAGCTCCTCCTTGACCCCAGGACTCGAGGGTCCAGCTCTTCGAGTGACCTTACTGTGGCTCTGTGGGAAGCCCCATTGTTGCTCTAAGTTTCTGTTGATCTGTTATTCATCCCCCAGTGTTAGCAACCCCTCTCCTGCTGGGCTTCCCAGCCATTTCACACCTTAGACCATAAGGCCCTATTCTGACTTCTTCCCCTGTAGGCTCTGATCTCTCTTTCCACCTCTCTCCTCCTTATTCACTCCACTCTAACAACTCTGGTCTCTGCTGTTCCCCACATGTTCAGGGATGGCTCTCCCTCAGGGCCTGTGCCTTGGCTATTCCTTCAGCCTAGGACATCCTTCTCCATGGCTTGCTCTATCACCTCCTTCAGGTTTTTGCTCAAATGTTAAGTCCTCAGTGAGACCTTCCTGGGTGGCTCTTCACACCATTTTAAACTCTCAGAACTTCCACTCTCCCTCCTTTGTCCTACTTTTCCTTTTTTCTTCACAGCTCTTGCAAACTCCTAACACACTGGATAATCTACAAATGTATTATGAACATTGTTTATTCTTAATCTCCCGATTTAGAAGGTAAGATCCGTAAGTCCAGGGATTTTTGTTTTGCCTGTTAACATAAATTAGTTAAATAAATAAATGCATGTCAACAATGAAGGCTGAAGGCACATAGCTTCATGTGGTTTCTACATTCTTGCCTGCTCCATGGATGGGGTGGGTGTTCCCTGGGGTGACTAGCTGATGGTGGAGACTGTATGATCTGTACTGATGTCTCTTTCTCATTCCTGATTTTGGTCATTTGTGTTCTCTCTCTCTGTCTTTCTGTTTCATCTCTCTATCTTGCTATCTCTTTTTTCATGCTCCTACCTCTTTTTTGTAAACAATGTATTAGAACACAGCCACACTCATTTATTTACGTATTGTCTATGCCTGCTTTTATGCTACATTGGCAGAGTTGAGTAGTTGCAAGGTGAATAAATTATATGGCCTGTAAATTCTAAAGTATTTATCTGACCCTTTATAAAAGTGTCAGCCAATCTTTGGACTAGAGATTTTTTATTATTTTTTTCAAAGAAACTGCTTTGGTTGTATTCATTTGTATTCATTTTCTCTATTGATTTTTTCATTTTCTACCTTTTTTTTTTTTTTTTTTTTTTGAGACAGTCTTGCTCTGTTGCCCAGGCGGGAGTGCAGTGGTGCAGTCTTAGCTCACTGCAACCTCTGCCTCCCAAGTTCAAGCAGTTCTCCTGCCCCAGCCTCCTGAGTAGCTAGGAATACAGGCACATGCTACCACGCCCAACTAATTCATTTTCTACTTGAATTTCAAGTGTACTTGAAAACAACATGTATTCTGCTTTGGTTGGCTGGAGTGTCCCATAAATACCAATTAGGTCAATTGACAGACTTTTTTGAAAGACACTTTTGTATCTTTACTGTGTATTTTATATCTTTACTGATTTATTTTCTCTAAATATATCGATTGCTTAGAGAAGAGTGTTGAAATTACCGATCCTCTTGTTCAATAAATATCGATTAGGTCAAGTTTGTCAACAGCACTATTCAAGTCTTATTTCTGACAATTTTTTTGGTCTGCTTGTCCTATTATTTGCTGAAAGAGGAATGTTGAAATCTACTTTAATATTCTTTCAGTTTTACTTTCCATGTTTTGAAACTTTATGATTGAGTACATATACATTTAGGATTATGTCTTCCTAATGATTGGATCCCTTTTCTAATATGTAATGACTGTCTTTATTTCTGTTAATATTTTTTTCTGAAGTATACTTTGATATTAATATAGCCATTTACATTTCTTTCTTTTCTTTTCTTTTCTTTTTCTTTTTTTTCTGAGATGTAGTTTCCCGCTTGTTGCCCAGGCTAGAGTGTAATGGCGTGATCTTGGCTCACTGCAACCTCTGCCTCCCAGGTTCAAGTGATTCTCCTGCCTCACCCTCCCAAGTAGCTGGGATTGCAGGTGCCTGCCACCACGCCCAGCTAATTTTTGTATTTTTAGTAGAGACGGGGTTTTACCATGTTGGCCAGGCTGGTCTCAAACACCTGACCTCAGATGATCCACCTGCCTCAGCCTCCCAAAGTCCTGAGATTACAGGCAGGAGCCACCGCCCCCTGCCTTAAATTTCTTTAGAGTTTGCATACGTCTTTTCCCATTCTTTTACTTTATATCTATGTTCATCTTTAATTTTTAGTGTGTTTCTTGTAGGTGGTGTATCGTAGGGACTTTTTTTTTTTTTTTTAAAGAGAGAGGGGAATGGAGTGGTGCAATAATAGTTCACTGTAACCTCAAACTCCTGGGCTCAAGTGATCGTCCTAGCTCAGCCTCCCTAAGGAGTTGGGACTGCAGGCATACATCACCATGCTTGATTAATTGTTTTTTATTTCTTGTAGAGATTAAGTCTTACTGTATAATCCAGGCTGGTCTTGAACTCCTGGCCTTAAGCTGTCCTTCCACCTCAGCTTCCCAGAGTGCTAAGATTACAGGCATGAGCCACTGCATCTAGCCAGGACTTACTTTTAAATCTAATTTGACAGTCTCTGCCTTTAATTGGAATATTTAGCCTTTAATGTAATTATCAATAATGTTGGGTTTAGACCTACCTTTCTTGCTATTTGTTTTCTATTTGCTCTGTTTGTTCTTTTATTCTGTCTTTCAGAGTGAGAATTTTTTATTAATCTGTTGCATAGTAATTATTCCCTTATTAGCTATACATCTTTATTTTAAATATTTAGTGGTGGCTTTAGGGTTTACAATATATATCTTTAACTTATAGTCTATAGTCAAATAATATTGTACATTTCATGTAAAATGTCAGAACTTTACTGTAGTATATTTCAATTACCCCTTTCCATACTTTGTGCTATTGTTACTATATATTTTAGTTCTATATATAAAATATACACCAAAGTACACTGCTATTATAGTTGCTTTAGAATATCCTTTTTAAACATCTGTATTGATTGATATACAATTCAGTCATTTAAAGTGTACAATTCCATCATTTTTCTATATTCCTGAGTTATGCAACTATTACCACAGTAAGTTTTCGAACATTTTCATCATTCCATAAAAAAATCCAGGCCAGGCATGGTGGCTCACGCCTGTAATCCCAGCACTTTGGGAGGCTGAGGCCGGTGGATCACGAGGTCAGGAGATCAAGACCATCCTGGCCAATACAGTGAAACCCTGTCTCTACTAAAAATGCAAAGATTGGCTGGGTGTGGTGGCACGTGCCTGTAATCCCAGCGACTCAGGAGGCTGAGGCAGGAGAATAGCTTGAACCAGGGAGTTGGAGGTCACAGTGAGCCAAGATCGCCCTACTGCACTGCAGCCTGGCGACAGAGCAAGACTCTTGTCTCTCAAAAAAAAAAAAATAAAATAAATAAAATAAATAAATAAATAAATAAACAAATAAGAAAAAAGAAAAAGAAATCCTATATCCATTAGCAGTCACTCCCCATTTCCCACCAACCGTTACAGCCCTAGACAATCCCTAATCTATTTTTGTCTTTACAGATTGGCTTACTTTGGATATTTCATATAAATGCAATCATATAACATGTAGCCTTTTTTTTGCCTAGCATGTTTTTTTTGTTTTTGTTTTTGTTTTGTTTTGCTGAAGACTATTCCATTGAATGGATCTGTCACATTTTACTTATCAGTTGATAGAATTTGGGTTCTTTCTACTTTTTGGCTATTATGAACAGCGCTGCTATCAACACTGATATACAGGTCTCTGTGTAGATGTGTGTTTTCATGTCTCTTGCATATTGCTGGGAATTGCTGGGCCATATGGAAACTCTATTTTTAACATTTTGAGGAACTGCCAAACTGTTTTCCACAGTGGCAGCATCATTTTACATTTCTTCGGCAATGTTTGAGGGTCCCCATTTCTTCTCCCCGATGCTTGTTACTGTCTTTCTGTTTTTATAGCCATCCTAGGGGATGTGAAGTGGTATGCCATTGTGTCTTTCTTTAAATGATGCAGTAAAATATACATAACATAAAATTTGCCATTTTATAGATGCTCAGTGAGTAATGTTAAAAATAATTTTGCCATTTAAACAATTTCAAGTGTACACATAAAATTTGCCATTTTATAGGTGCTCAGTGAGCAATGTTAAAAATAATTTGGCCATTTAAACAATTTCAAGTGTACAATTCAATTGAATTAGGTACCTTTCCTACTGTAACCATTCCTACTGTCTATTTTCAGAACATGTTCATCATCCCAAACAGAAATTCTGTACTCATTAAACAATAACTCCCCATTCCCCCATTTCCAGGCAGCCTCTATTGTCCTTTCTGTCCCTATGAATTTGCCCATTCTGGGTACCTTGTGCAAGTGGAATCAAGAATACACTTATACAATACTTGTCCTTTTTTCAAGGTTAATCCATGTTGCAGTGTGTATCAGAATTTCACAATTTTCAAGGCCAAATAATATTTCATTGTATATATATATATCACATTTTGTTTATCCATTCACCTGTTGGACATCTGGGTTGTTTGTACCTTATGGCTATTGTAAATAATGCTGCTACAAACATTGGTATACGGGCTGGGCACGGTGGCTTACGCCTGTAATCCCAGCACTTTGGGAGACCGAGGCGGGTGGATAACGAGGTCAGGAGATGGAGACCAGCCTGGCTAACATGGTGAAACCTCATCTCTACTAAACATACAAAAACTTAGCTGGGCGTGGTGGTGGGCACCTGTAGTCCCAGCTACTCGGGAGGCTGAGGCAGGAGAATGGCGTGAACCCATGAGGTGGAGCTTGCAGTGAGCCGAGATCACGCCACTGCACTCCAGCCTGGGAGACAGAGTGAGACTCCATCTCAAAAAAAAAAAAAAAAAAATTGGTGTACAAGTATCTGTTTGAATCCCTGTTTTCAGTTCCTTGGGTATACACCAAGAGTGGAATTGCTGGATCATATGATAACTCTATGTTTAACATTTTGTTTTCCACAGTGGCTGTACCATTTCACGTTCCCATCAACGGAGAGAGAGAGAGGGAGGGACATGTGTAGTTTAATGACAGGGATACGGTCTACATTGTTAGGCTATCTTCTCTTTGGGAACATCATAGAGTATACTTACACAAACATAGAGGGTATATACATTTTTATTTATATGTATTTTTTCATATGGAAAACCAAATGTCCCAGCACCATTACTGAGTATCAGTCATTTCCCCAACTAAATATGCAATGTCAATATCAAGTGCCATGTGTCAGGTTTCTACATATACGCCATTATAATCTATGGCACCACCATCGTACATGTGATCTGTTGTTAACCAAAACATCGTGTGGCATATGACAATGACATATATGTCACCCTAATGGTGGTTTTGGTCTTCATGTGCTTATTCGTCCATTTGTATATCTTCTCTGGACAAATGTCTATTCAGGTCATTTATTCATTTTAAAGTTGGGTTTTTTGAGGTTGTCTTTTATTATTGAGTTGTAAGAGTTGTAAGAGTTATTCTGGGTATAAGTCCCTTATCAGTACATGATTTAAAATGTCTTTCCCATTCTGTGGGTTGTCATTTCACTTTCTTGATGGTGTGTTTTGAAGCACAAACATTTTGTGAAATTTTAATTCCAATCTATTGTGTTGCTGTGCTTTTGGTGTATCTAAGAAGCCGTCGTCTAATCAGAGGCCATAAAGACTTACTCCTGTTTTTCCTTCTAAGTGTGTTGTAGTTTTCTTGCTTACATTTAGGTCTCAGATTTACTTTGGGTGAACTTTTCTACGTGATGTGAGATAGGGGTCCACATTCCCTCTTTTGCATGTGACTATCCAGTTGTTCCAGAACCATTTGTTGAAAAGACTATATGCTTTGCCCATTGAATGGTCTTGGCCCCTGTGTTGAAAATTAATTGGCCATAAATATAAGGGTTTATTTCTGAACTCTCAATTTTATTAAGTTGATTGATGTGTTTATCTTTGTGCCAGTATAACATAGTTTTGATGATTATACCTTTGTAGAAGTTCTGAAATCAGGAAGTATGAGTCTTCCAAATTTGTTCTTTTTTCAAGATTGTTTTGGCTATTTTGGGCAGGTCCCTTGCTGTGCAGAAGAGTTAAACATAGCAAGCATAACTGTTTATGCTTAGAAAGGCCTTCCTGTAGACTCTTGGGCGGCCTCTAGAAACCTAGCTTTCTGGTAACTGTGCTCACTCTGCCTAAACTGTTAACACAAACAAAATGCTTTATGCAGAACACCGGTTCTTCTGCTGGTGGTCTGACATTTTGGTACAGCCTCGGCAGAGTGTGCCTGCATGCTGTGCAGAAGGCGCCCCAGTAAAAATCCTGAGCACTGAGTTTCTAATGAACTTCATTATAAAAGACCGTTGGGTTTTGTCAAATTTTGTTCTTCACATCTATTCAGATGATCATTTGTTTTGTATTCTACCAATATGGTGTATGACATTGACTTTCATACATTGAACCAATCTTACATTCCTGGGATTAACCCCACTTAGTCATGGTGTTTAACACTTTGCCAGTATTTCTTTGAGAATTTTTGTTTCTATGTTTGTGAGATATTGGTTGGTAGTTTTTTTTTTCTTGTGATGTCTTTGGTTTTGGTGGCAGGGTAATACTTGCCTCACACAATATGTTGGGAAATGGTTCCTCTCAGTTTTTTGCAAGAGTTTGTGAAGGGTTGGTATTAATTCCTCTTTGATAAAATTCACTAGGTTATTTTTTTAAAGATGTTTAAAATGAGAGAAATGTCTTTTACATTTAGCCACTTACTTTTCTCCCTACTCTGCTACTTTGTGTGGATCTGTATTTCCATTTGTATCGTGTTCCTTTTGTATGCAGAGCTTACTTATTCTATTTATTTAAGAGTTAGGGTCTCACTCTGTCACACAGGCTGGAATGCAGTGTACAGTCACTACTCACTGCAGCCTCAAACTCCTGGGCTTAAGCCATCTACCCACCTCAGCCTGCCAAGTAGTTGGGAGTACAGGTGTGCCACCACACTCAGCTAATTAAAAAAATTTTTGTTTTTAGATACAGGCTAGTTATGTTGCCAACACACCTAGCTAATTTTTTTTTTTTTTTTTTTTTTTTTTTTTTTTTTTTAAGATATAGGCTATGTTGCTCAGGCTGGTGTTGAAGTGGCTGTAAGCAATCCTCCTGCCTTAGCCTCTCTAATAGCTGGGATTACAGGCAGCAGCCACAGTCTGTAAGCATCTGAAGACCTTACTCTAACATTTCTCAGAGTACAAATTTGTTTGTGATTAATTCCCTCAGCTTTTGTCTGAAAAGGTTTTTAGCATTTTTAGGATATTATACCATTGACGTGCAGTTTCTGACAAAATGTTGCTATAATTCTTAACTTTGTTCCTCAGTATGTGATGTGCCTTTTTGGGTGAAATGCTTTTATGATTTTCTCTTCTGGGGCCGGGTGCAGTGGCTCATGCCTGTAATCCCAGCACTTTGGGAGGCCAAGGCGGGTGGATCACTTGACGTCAGGAGCTGAGACCAGCCTCATCAACCTGATGAAATCCCGTCTCTACTAAAAATACAAAAAAAAAGTTGGGTGTGGTGGTGTGTGTCTGTAATCCCAGCAACTCGGGGGCCTGAGGCAGGAGAATCGCTCGAACCCAGGAGATGGAGGTTGCAGTGAGCCGAGATTGCGCCACTGCACTCCAAGCCTGGGTGACAGAGCAACTGTCTCAAAAAAAAAAAAAAAATCTTCTTTTTCAGTAATTTGATCATGATCTGCCTTGGTGTGACTTTCTTTAGGTTTATTCTCCCTCTGATTCATTGACTTTCTTGAATTTGTGGATTCAGAGTTTCATCGAATTTGGGAAAATTTTCACCTATTATTTCTTCACATAAATTTCTGTTATCCTCCCTTTCTCCTTTCCTTCTGGACTCCACGTGCACATACACTACACTGTCTGGTATATTTCTACAGAGAACTGATTCTCTTCATTTTTTTCATTTCATTTTGAATTATTTATATGGCTATGTTTTTATGTCTATTGATCTTTTCTTCTAGTGTCTACTCTGCTATTAGTGGATTTTTCATTTCATACATCTTATTCTTCTTTATAAATTCCATTCAGGTATTTTTTCTATCTTTCATTCCACTCTGCAGCATGTTCATGTTTTCCTTTTCATCTTTGAGTATATTTGTACTAGCTCTTTTAAGATTTTTCGCTTCTTTCCTGAACTGTCATTTCTGGGCCCTTTCCTACTGACTGATTTTTCTCCTGGTTATGGGTCACAATTTCCTGCTTCTTTGTATATCCAGTACAATTTTATTGGATGCTTGATATTTTGAATTTTGCACAGGTAAGTGTTGGATTGTTTTCTTTAGAGTGTTTTGCCTTTTCAGGAACTTTTGGATGGCTGATCAAGTAGCCTCTGTTCTAGAATTAATTTAGCCATACTTCTCATGTGTGGTCATTCTAGGTTCCCTACTAAATGCCCCTTATAGTTGATAATGCCTCTACACTCTAGCTAGAGGGAATGTGAATTCTTTCTCATAGTGAGCTCAAGGAAATGTTCATTGTACAGATCCCTACTATTCTTTCATGGGAAGTTATTCTTGCCTGGCCTCATGGGGTTTCATGCTGTATATATTCAGATTATTCAACCAAAGAATCAAGGAGGGGACTTCTATGCAAGTTTTTCTTTTGTTTTTATTTGCATAGCTCTGTTCCTTGCAGGACTCAGCCCTGCAAATTCTAGCTGCCTTGGCCTCCTTGAGCTATGGTCTCTGGCTCAACTCTGTGGGATCGTTAGACTCATGTCTTACAGCCTGGTGACACTTCCATGCAATAAGCTAGAGTGGTCTGTTCAGTGACCACAGTACTGCAACGCCTGCCAACCAGTGTCTGAAAATAGCGGCTCATGTATTTTGTCCAGTTTCTAGCTGCTTACAGTGGGAGGGTATCCTGGACTGTATTTCCCCTGCATGGTCAGCAGCGCACCTCCATTGGGTCTGCATGTGTTTAATCTGACGGCTCTGTTGGCTGGCCTCTGTTATAGGTTATAAGTATAGCTGCCTGTGCTTACACCACGAGCACTTGGGGTGTCTTGTGGCAGGATTGAGCTGGCTCTAAAGCGGACTCCCTCTTCTCACTCCCTGCCTTTTCTCCCTTTCCTTCTGCAGAAAAGGTGTGAGCGGTACTGGGCCCAGGAGCAGGAGCCGCTGCAGACTGGGCTTTTCTGCATCACTCTGGTGAGCTGTGGGAGGTTTCAAGGAAGATTCCCAGGGTGGAAAGGCTTTGGGTTGGGCCTAAAAGGATGAATGATTTAACCCACAGTCCACTCACACTGCAGGAAACCCTCTGGTGTTAGCCTGCAAATAGTTAGAACTTAATATAGGGATAGCCTTTGCTTTTTTATTTTGGCTACAATCACAGTTATCTCTGTCATGTAAATGTGCCTGGTTAGGTTCTTGAAAGTCTTACTTCTCTTACCATTTCAAAAGAGCTTGGGGGAACTCTCAAGTCATACATACCGTTAGTACTTAATAAATACAATAGAAGTTTCAGTTTAGAACAAAATCATCTCTTTTCACTGCAAAAGGGCTTGTGTTTTTATAATAGTTCCTCTTTTTCTCCTGTGTCAAATGTTTCCTTAATGAAAGCTTTGGGGAAGTTTGGGCTATATGATTTTTTTTTTTAAACGGAGTCTTGCTCTGTCATCCAGGCTGGATTGCAGTGGCGCGATCTCCACTCACTGCAAGCTCTGCCGCCTCCTGGGTTCACACCATTCTCCTGCCTCAGCCTCCTGAGTAGCTGGGACTACAGGTGCCCGCCATCACGCCTGCCTAATTTTTTTGTATTTTTAGTAGAGATGGGGTTTCACCGTATTAGCCAGGATGGTCTCGATCTCCTGACCTCGTGATCCGCCCACCTTGGCCTCCCAAAGTGCTGGGATTACAGGCGTGAGCCACCGCCCCCAGCCGGGCTATATGAATTTTTAAAATGTTTTCTGTATTTGATTTTTTAATCAGGAATGCTTTGCTTTCTATAAATGTCTTTTGGTACCTGTGATCTTTGTTCTCCTCCCTCTTACTTGCCCCACCCCCCTTACTCAGATAAAGGAGAAGTGGCTGAATGAGGACATCATGCTGAGGACCCTCAAGGTCACATTCCAGAAGGTACTGTGAAAAGGAAGGAGGAGGCAAAGGGGCTCCTGAAAGGGGAGGGATTTCCTCCCCTGTAAAAATGGGCATCATACTAGTACCCACCTCCTCAGTTATTCTCCGGTAGATATAAATGGAAGATGCCTAGAAGTGGGCCTGGTGTATAGTAGGTACCCAATTAATGCTTTTTTTTTTTTTTTTCCTAAGTCTTTTGCTCATCTTTTTCTGTGTTTCAGGAGTCCCGTTCTGTGTCCCAGCTACAGTATATGTCCTGGCCAGACCGTGGGGTCCCCAGCAGTCCTGACCACATGCTTGCCATGGTGGAGGAAGCCCGTCGCCTCCAGGGATCTGGCCCTGAACCCCTCTGTGTCCACTGCAGGTTCTGGAAATGGGCTTCAGGAGGGTCTGGTGAGGCAGAGGCGACAGGGCAGGGAGGGGAGTGCAGGGCATGGGGCTAGTCTTATAGTCTGAGTGCCTATTTTGAGAACCTTGCTCACCTCCATGGACTATAATTGTGAGCACTTGTTCAGCATAGACTCAGCTGGGGAATAAGCACACAGCCGCTGCTCAACAAAATGTAAGTGATTAAAAAGGTTTTCCTTGCTCAGATATCTGGAGATTCTGGGAATCAAGAGGCTCTGCAAGGGATCCATTAGGACCCTCACCCCCATCCCCAAATGCCCTGTCTAAAAGGGGTTGTGGTCAGGACCTGACCAGGCACGCTCTGATTCTCTTGTCAGTGCGGGCTGTGGGCGAACAGGTGTCCTGTGCACCGTGGATTATGTGAGGCAGCTGCTCCTGACCCAGGTACGATGCAGGCATCCTGTGTGTGCAGTGTGCTGCCCATGACCTCGTGTCCTGCTCAAGTGCCTTGTCTGTCTGCCCCAGATGATCCCACCTGACTTCAGCCTCTTTGATGTGGTCCTTGAGATGAGGAAGCAGCGGCCTGCGGCCGTGCAGACAGAGGTGAACGCTGGGTCTCCTAATCTTCAGGGACAGTGGCCCGCTGCTGTCATTCCCTGCCTTCCCTTCCTGATGGTCCCTCACCCCAACAGGAGCAATACAGGTTCCTGTACCACACGGTGGCCCAGATGTTCTGCTCCACGCTCCAGAATGCCAGCCCCCACTACCAGAACATCAAAGAGGTACAGAGGCCCCTTTCCCACTCTCCTGTCTGCCATCAGTACCCTCAGAGACCAGGACCCCAAGCAGGGTCCAGCCCCCGGGACTCCCGGAAGCAGGCACTGACTATGACATCCACCTGTGCCCTCCTCCGGGCATCCTTATCAGGCTCTCCCTTCTTAAGCTTTCTCCCAGAGCCCCGTGAGAGACCTGGCCAGCTTCCTCCCTCAGGAGCCTCCCCTCTTGTTTTTCCTCAGAATTGTGCCCCACTCTACGACGATGCCCTCTTCCTCCGGACTCCCCGGGCACTTCTCGCCATACCCCGCCCACCAGGAGGCGTCCTCAGGTACCCGGCTCCATTCCCACATTCTTCCCTGCCCAATTTCTCAGGCTAACCCCTTCCTCATCCTTGGAACACCAGTCCGTTCCTTGTTCACTTCGCCAAGTGCTCTCTGGCCCCTTCTTTAAATTGAGCCCTGGGAACCCACTCCAAGATGATTCATTTATCACAGTGGTCCCCTTGCCTCTGCCTCTAAGGCTTGCCCTGCCTTCTGAGTTAGACCTTTCCTGGATCCTCCAATCAAACCTTAATTCAGGTAGCTCACGCCTGTAATCCCAGCACTCCGGGAGGCCAAGGAGGGTGGATCACTTGAGGGCAGTTGGAGACCAGCCTGGTGTAACATGGTGAAACCCCGTCTCTACTAAAAATACAAAAATTAGCCAGGCGTGCTGGCGGGACCCTATAGTCCCAGCTACTTCGGAGGCTGAGGCAGGAGAGTCCCAGAAGGTGGAGGTTGCAGTAAACGGAGATTGCACCACGGCAGTCCAGCCTGGGCGATGGAGCTAGATCCTGTCTCAAAAAGCAACAAAAAACAATTCAGCAAATAATTCTAGATGCCGCCCTCTTGTCAGGCTGCACGTTGAGTGCTGCGGGCATGGGACTGAGCCGCCTTGCAGCGGAGACTTAAGGCTCTTGTCCTTGCGGCCATCCTTCCCGGTCCTCTATGCCACTTCCGCACTCTCGTATTCAGTAGACACTGACACAGAAATGACCACCCCTCAAACCAGCACTGCTCCAATTACCTTTCAGGCCGACCCCGTTCCTCCTTCATCCACCTAACGTGCAGGGCGCTAGGGACACAGAAGCGAGGCCTCCCACCCAGGGAGCCCTGCCTCCCGTCTCCCGCCTCGACGGGAAGGAAGCCCGTGGTTTGCGCACTGAGCAGCCTCCCCACTCCCGCCCTGCCCAGCGCCGCCGTTTCACTTCCTCCCGGCCCTCCCTGCCTGCAGGAGCATCTCGGTGCCCGGGTCCCGGGGCCACGCCATGGCTGACACCTACGCGGTGGTGCAGAAGCGCGGGGCTCCAGCGGGCGCCGGGCCGGGACCGGAGACCGGGACGGGGGCGCGCAGCGCGGAGGAGGTGCCGCTCTACAGCCAGGTGACGCCGCGCGCCCAGCGGCCCGGGGCGCACGCGGAAGACGTGCGGGGCACGGTGCCTGGCCGCGGTGAGTCGAGGCTTGCTCCTTCTCAGGGTCACCTTGCTGTGGTCCGCGGGACCCCGGCGGCCGTGAAATCCCCCAGCCCCCATACTAACCTGGCCACGCCCCGACGCTGACGTCGCGGCGTCCCTGGCCACGCCCCGGAAGCGCCCCCTGGCGGTCGCGGTCCGGGTCCCGGGGCAGGTTCCGGGCGACACTAGCGGGCTTGTCTCGGCCGCGCCCAAAGGCTGGAGGCTGCGTTCGGGGTGTGCCGCTTCTCCCGCCGGGCGCCCTCGGCCCTCCTCTTCGGGCCTCGGAGGAAGCATCCCCGCCAGGGGTGGGGTCTTGGTACTCCCTGGGGCTTCCGGAGCTGACTCGTGTTGGGGGTCTCCTGCCCTCAGTTCCTGCTGACCCAAGTCCTGCCGCATCTGGCGCCTACGAGGACGTGCCGGGTGGAGCTCAGACCGGTGGGCTAGGTAAGTCAAGGAGAGCCTGGGCTGCCGGGACTTTGCTGCTTTGAGTGAACCCCGGGAGTCTGGGGTTGAGGGATGGGGCATGGAGCTCAGTCCTGTGGATGTGGCTGCAGTGAATCAGAAGGACCTGGAGGCAGGGGGATGGCCGTTTTCGTGTTTGCCAGCCTCCGCACACCTCAGCTTCGTCATGAGACCCACGGCACCCTTCCTCTCCCAGGTTTCAACCTGCGCATTGGGAGGCCGAAGGGGCCCCGGGACCCCCCTGCTGAGTGGACCCGGGTGTGAGTCTGCGCCAGCTCCTGCCTGTTGCCTCGTGTGAGCTCGGACTGCTGTGTGCAGAATGGAAACAGTGCGCCTGAATCAAAATAAATGTTTCTCAGGGTGGGAAATGCGGGGGCTTTGCCCGTGACTGTAGAATTCAAAGCTTGAGGCTGGAGGAGGTAGGTTTGGTATAATGGCTGGTGAGGCTGCACGGAGCAGATTCAAGAAAGAAGATCGGGAAGGGGCATGGCCCCCGAGTTATGAAGGGAAGAATGGACAGATGAGCTTCCAGAGACTTCTCACCACATAACACACTAGTCCATCCTCAGCACCTGAGCCTGCCTCACTTGAACACTCAGGGGACCACACAGAGAAATGGATGGACCCCTCGCCATCCAGGCAGACCGATAAAAAGACTTCCAGATAGGCAGACAGACGGGTGGACCACCAACCTGGACAGACAGCCACACCTTCAGAGATACAGTCCACAGGTGGACAAAGGGACCCCCAGCCAGAGAGACCACCAAACAGAGCCCCCAAAAGACAGACACCTCTGCCAGCTGGACAGCCGGGTGGACCCCTAAGTTAGACAGATGTAAACAGATCTCCAGCTGAACAGATACACAGACTTCTCAGACCCTACCCCTATCCCCCAGGTGGGCTGGCTGGCTGAAAAGACCTTCTGGCCAGACAGACTCCTAACCAACCAGATGGACTGCCAGACAGACAGACATCAGCCACATGGAATCCTGACATCCCAGCCAGCCAGCCAGACTCTCATCTTGATGGGTAAACCCCAGTTGGTTGGTCAGACGTGATCCTCCAGATTGACAGAGAAGTCCCCCAAATGAGTACATATCTCCAGCTATTCAGACAGATGGACCCCCAGCAAATCAGGCCCTATCTAGACCCCAGCCAAACAGACCCCCCAACCAAACTGACCCCTTGCTGTTCACATAGCCTCCCGAGTAGCTGGGACTACAGGTCTAATTTTTTTTTTATTTTTTAGAGATGAGTTTGCCATGTTGCCCAGGTTAGTCTCGAACTCCTGAGCTAAAGCAATCCTCCTGCCTTAGCCTCCCAAAGTGCTGAGATTATAGGTGTGAGCCACCAGGCTCAGCCCTCTAAGATTTGAAACACTTTAAATGGCCCTAGCAGGTTTTATCCTGCTAGGATAAAACATTAAGCAGCTGTTAAAAAAAATAAAAAATAAAAAATAAAAGAAACCGCCTCCTGTGCACTGGTGTGGACAAATCTCCAAGTCACTGCAAAATGGAAGAATACAAGATGCTTTCTCCTGGAACCTCAAGGGTCCCGCCCCTCTCACCTTCAGGTCTCTGGACCTCTGACTGACACTGTGCCTGCCCAGGTCCCTGTCTGTACCGCCACAGTGCCCTGGGTCCCATGTCCACCTCTGTCCTGCCCTTCTCTGGGTGAGGGCTGGCCTTCCCCTGCCTCTGCCTGGCTGCATCCTTGGTCGATCTCAAGTGCCTTGGCATGAACTCCACTCTCCTGCAGCCTTTAATCAGGGTATGATGGGGGATGTGTTCATACCCCCCCACCCCACCCCTTGGCCGGGTGATGCTGAGATGTGGATTTTTAACAGTTCCCAGACTTTTCCAGGAGGCTTGGGTTGGGTGGCCACAGTGGGAGCTGGTGTGATATACCTTCGCTGGCCGCCTTTCCTTCCTGTTCTCTGTGCCCCTACTTCCCACTCTAGAACTGCCCTGTTTCTCTGTTTTCATGAAAGAGCTGGCCCTGTGCTGCTTCCCACTCTCCCAATGCCCCTGCCTCTCCTGTGAGCCTGCTGCTGGTGAGGTTGGTGCTGACCTCTGTGTTGCTGGATAATGAGTCATTTATCTCTGGAGGAGAGGAAAGGCAGGTCCTCCACAGCCCTGATAAAATCTCCAAGTCTTACAGTTTCAGGTCCTTCTCCTGGGATGCAATCCTACTGCCTGCCCAGGTGGCACGGTCCACATCCCCTCTTCTTGGGAATAGGGGCATGGGAAAGTGACAGAAGATACTGTTCTGGCTGCTGTGTTCACTGTGAGTAATAAATTGTCCATTTCCCCGATTCAGAGGTCTGTGTTTGTTTGTTTGTTTGTTTGTTTTTCTCCCAAGATGAAGTCTTGCTCTGTCGCCCAGGCTGGAGTGCAGTGGCGTCATCTTGGCTCACTGCAACCTGTCTCCGCCTCCCGGGTTCAAGCAATTCTCCTGCCTCAGCCTCTGGGCTGAGTAGCTGAGATTAAACGCATGCACCACTATGCCCAGCCAATTTTTGTATTTTTAGTAGAGATGGGGTTTCACCATGTTGTCCAGGATGGTCTCGAACTCCTGACCTCATGATCTACCCGCCTCTGCCTCATGAAGTGCTGGGATTACTGGCGTGAGTCACTGCGGCCGGCCTTGGTCTGGTGTTTTGTACACATGTGCATGTGATGTGGAGCTGTGCAGGCCATCTTGTCAGCGTGCGAGGAGGGTTCAGTCTCTGAGCCTTCTTGGTTTCTGACTTCAGACCCAGTAGCCTCCCTCCTGGCCCAGCATGGCAAGCACAGTTTCCACTTAGACATTTGCCCTGGTTATTCTCTCTGCCTTGGATAGTTTTCTCCCAGATTCTGCCTCTAATATATTTGAACATTTACCTCTTAATATTGTTTTCTATCTGTCTCTCCTGACAAGAATGTAAGCTGCATGAGGGCAGGAGTTTGTGTTTGGTTTCCAGCTACTGTCCCAGCTCCTAGAACAGCGCTGACACATAGGAAGCATGTAGGCTGATTTATCTCACACCATTTATTCCAGGCTTCCTCACTTGTAGTAAAATATGATACCTTGTCTCAAATGTTCTCTTCCCCTTTCCAGACCCAGGTCTTTGCTCATGTAGATCACTGCTTCAGGCTGACATAAAAACCGTTCTCTTGTTAGGAAAGCTCAGCAATGGGAGCGGCAATCCTCCACCCGTCTCCTGCTCTCCTACAAGTCTTTCCTGGAGGTAGTGGGTTGAATGGTGGCCCCCAGAAAGATAGGTCCAAGTTCTAACTTCTAGAACCTGTGAATGCAACCTTATTTGGAAAAAGGGTCTTCGCAAATGTAATTAAAACACCTGGAGATGAGATCATCCTGGATTTAGGATGGGCCCTAAACCCAATGACTGATATCTTTATAAGAGAAAGGAGCGGGAGATGCAGAGATGGAGAGAAGAAGGTCATTGGAGATGGAGGCAGAGATGGGGGTGAAGTGTCTGCAAACCAAGGAGTGTCAAAGATTGCCAGCAAACCGCTGGGGGCCAGGAGAGAGGCCTGGCCGATTCTTCCTCACAGACAGTGGAGGGAACCACCCTGCTGACACCTCAGTTTGGGACCTCAGAATTGTAAGAGAATAAACATCTGCTGTTTTGAGCCACACGGTTTATAGTCATTTATTATGGCGGCCACAGGAAAGTCACACACTGGGTATCCAAGAATGCAAGGCCTGGCTGCTCCTGAACTGGGCATCTCAGGGCTGTGTTTGCAATAGGACACCGCAGTAGGTGATGTTTCCCTCTGGATATGCCCTGAGCTCAGGGCTCCTCTTCCGCAGTGCAGCCCACTGGGTGCACCCATCTGTCTGGGCTCTCAGAAACCCCCGCGCGGCACCATATTTGTGTTGCTTTGTTTCTGACCCAGTAGGGGCAGTGAAGGCTCAGCTGTCAGTGTCCAGGTAGGATCGGATCTGATGACGCCTCCTTTTCACAGGAGTTAGTTACTCCTCCCTCCTTTCCGCTTTCAACATCCCCTGCCTTGACTTTGCTCCTTTGCATGGCATTCGTTTGTCTTAGACCATGATGTCCTGAGAGAAAACTAGGCCCTGTTTGTGGCTAGGTTTGTTTTCAACCCCAGGGGCAGAGAGCTGCTTTACATAATTGATGAAAACTTTGTTTCTGTTTTCTAACTCTCGATTCAGTGCTCTTTTCACATACTCCCAAGCTTACATGTCCCTGCTACCTTCAGAAACAAAACATGATAGTAAAAGTTGCTGCTGGATATTGGGCAGCTGATATCTGACCTCATGCAGCAGAAGGGGAGGGTGAGGAATTGCCACTTGACATAGGGATCCCCTGAGCTTCCCTGATATTAACATGATGCGGGGGGCGGGGGGCTTGATAAAAAACAAAGCGCAGTCGGGAGCTCAGGGCTGCTGCTTAGAGTCTAATGGCTTCTCAGCCCCTGGTAACCTTACCCTTCAGGCCCTGCTCCCGCCTCCTCTCCTGCCTCCCACCCACAGCCAGTGCTCCACCAAACTTCACTGCCTTCCTGGAGTGCTCCTCCCTACTCTCTCCTCCGGCCCAGTCTCCTTCATCCCAGGAGACCCAGCTCACATCTCACCTGCCCTGGGGATGTGGGGCCTTCTCCCTCCCTCTCCAGAACTTCTCTTCCCCAACACTGCTCTGCAGAGCACTTGGTGTCCACCTCATCACACCCCTGCCCTGCGCCGGCAGGATCCGGGGCTACAGGCAGGTTCTGTGGGTCAGGGATGGGTCTTGCTCCTCTTCATCACCTACGTGTTTGGAGCTTCCCCTGCACAGAGCAGTGCTCCGCAAATGATTGTGGATTTTAACTCGGTCAGGGTGATTGCTCAGTTGTGTACCAGAGAAATGGTCTTGTTGGAAAGAGCCTGCGGAATGCCAATTGCAGCCTCAGTGAAGATGATAGAAGACGTCACTAAGCAACGATGGCTTATAACTCTTTGTTCAATAATAGCTAAGTTTGGCCCAAACAAGGTCAGTATCGGAATAAACTATGCAGTAAGTGAAAATTGTTTTATTTATTTTATGGCATGTTTATTTTAGAATATACAAAATGGTTGAGGAGTCATGAATCCTTAAGAAAATATGAAAAAGACAAGTGTTTATAAAGCCATACCAGCATCCAATCAATGTCAGAAGCTTTAAGAGCTGAGAAGTGTCCAAACATCAAGTGTACTTGAGAAGCGATTTCCACTGGATTCCATTGCTCTCAAGTCGGCCCAGGCCCTGCAGCCTTACTTTTGAGGATGACTTCTCCAAGAGGTCTGTCTGCCTGTCTGTCTGTTTGGGGACAGATGATTGATGAGGTCAGTAAGCTGAACGTTGTGACCTCTCCAGCCCGAAACCTTTTTCAGGTACCAGAAATGGGAATTTTTATATTATCTCATTTAACATGCCTTGGAGAGCAGGACCCCGGGGTTGTTTTTTGTTTTGTTTTTGTTTTTGTTGTTGTTGTTTTGAGACGTAGTCTCGCTCTGTCGCCCAGGCTGGAGTGCAGTGGCTCAGTCTCGGCTCACTGCAAGCTCCACCTCCCGGGTTCACGCCATTCTCCCGCCTCAGCCTCCTGAGGACCCCAGGTTTTTAAGTCTCTGGGTTCTCTCATAGGTTTAGCACTGAGTTTTTGATCAATAAACATTTTTTGAATTTAATAAGAAAAGAAAACTCTTGGTGGGAAAGAGTTCTAAAGTTGAACTTTCTCCATCCTGACCTTGAAACCGGTCAAAGAGCCCCACCAGAGTTTGGGATCAGTAGCTCTGCTGCTACCAGCCAATGTTTCAAATTTGCATTGTCATGTGTACAGCGGATGCCTTTAAGTAAAGCAGTCAGCATCCAGAATATCAACAATTACTTGGAATATTTTGGTGAGATAGCTGACTTCCCTAGAAATGAGCTTGATGTATACACACCATCCCCAGTGTTGACACTGGGAAAATGGGAGAATCTCATGTTCTCCCTGAACCTGGGACAAATGTATTTGGTCCCTTCTTCACTGAGGCTGAACAAAGCCCATTCCAACCCTGCAATACAGAAATGTGGCCCAAGGTGCTGAGTGAGTGGGGAGGAAGGAGTCACTGCATAGGCCGCTGGCAACTGTTCATTCAGAGTCCTTAGTTCGTTTGTTTTTGCATAGACACACCTGACCCCATAGGCATACTCACTTCATCAGCTCCTGTGTCCCACGTGCCAGCAACAGAATAATGTGCCTGAGAAGTGTTCTCTGAGTGACTGAACTTTCCTGCTGTTCAGGCAGTCTAATGATGGGTCAAGAGAGCCTAAGAGGTATTTGAATTGAGGAGGATTTTGATTTCACTAGAATAATCAGACTTCAAGACATTCACCATTAACACCAACCATGTGCAGCTCTCACTGTGAGTGTCTCTCTTCCTATACAAGTTTATTGTTAAATTATATTTGTCTTGTTTTTTTTTTTTTTTCCTGGAAAGGCAAGAGAGATGTCTGGGGGATTTTATGTCTGATAAATGCTTCTAGTTGAAGATGTATTACCAAGACATTTAGACTCCCCAGGACTGAGTGGGGTGATGAGTGTATTTCTAGAATGGCTTCACCATTTGCTGGAAGACAGAATATGCTTCATGGCCATCTCCTACCAATTTTTGGCTCCTTACTTCTCCCCAATGCCCCACCCCTACTCTTGCCAACATCAGCTATTTTTATGTTTTCCCCAAGTCTGAAGCTTCTCGATATATGCAGTTTTGCAGAGACCCACGATACTGTTTTCTTCTGGATAGCTGAGTTCTGTGGTTCTAAGATGAATAGCTAGTTCTAGCTTTAATGTGGAATTGAGAACATGGTGTTTTGGGTAGGTGAGAGACAGAAAATCATGATATGTCAGAACTGGAAGCACCGTGTTTCCTAAATGAGGGAAAGGGGAGAGGAGGCAGGTATTAGTGGTGAGGAAATCAGTCAGGAGACAGTTACCAGTGGATGCGAAGAAGGATAAGGGCACCAGAAATGGAGGTGCGACTACAAAGTGGTAAAAGAACGTTGACCACCTGCTCAGGGCCAACGACCTGAAGGCAAGCAGGTCAAAACAGGGAGCTCCTGGCAGGTGAAATTTATGACAAGATAGAGTGCTTGTTGCAGTGTCTATTCTTTTTTTTTTTAGAGACAGGGTCTCATTCTGTCACTCAGTCTGGAGTGCAGTGGTTGGATCATGGCTCACTGCAGCCTTGGCCACCTGGGCTCAAGCAGTCCTCACACCTCAGCCTCCCTGGTTGATGTGACTGCAGGCACGTGCCACCATGCCTAGCCTAGTGTCTGTTCTTCAGGTT